TTTTTGGGGGGGTGGGAGGGGGGGGGGGGCGGGAAATGTCTGAGGTTCCAAAGAAAATCATTTCCAACCTCGACACCAGGTGTCAGAAAATTCCTGCGCCCCAAAACCAAGTTACTGCACTTCCGCCAACCTGGACACCAGGTGCCCAGGTTGCTGGCTCACATAAAGGGAGAACAAGGGGTTCTTCCCTGTTTTCGCGCGCCAAAGGGCTGCAGCGGGTCTTTGTTCTCGGACGTACGTACAGCAAAAACAATTGCTGTAGTATCCCATCCAGCCTGGACCCCGAGTGCCCAAGTGGAATACTGGGGTAACTTCAGAACCCTGAACACTTAGGAAGGCTGACCCCAGGAGACCTTCTACTCTTTTCACATGTACTAGAAGATGCATCAGAAAACTCTACGTGAAAGACTTGGTTTTCCGCATCCCACTGCATCAGCAGTGCACCGGCCCTTCAACCTAAAAGAAATCAACAAGGTCGCAAGAAATCAAGCCGCACGCTTCATGTGTCGCTTGAGGAACATCAGGCTTCATGTGTCGCTTGAGGAACATCAGGCTTGGATTTTTAGAGTTAGGGCCAGCTGGTGTCCAGGCTCGTGTTTCCGTGCTGCAGCTACGAAATTTGCTTTTACTATAATGGAGAATCAGATGCAAAAGAACACGGAACATAAAATGGCAACTAGGGTAGAGAGCTGGGATATTCCTTGGACATCTTTTCAGTTATTATGGACCACAAGCCCTACACGGTCTTATGATTATAGCCCATAAGAATTAGATGTTTATAGAGCCCGCACACCTGCCGTAGTTGGAGTTGCAGGTGGGTCTTAATCTGTTGAATTCCAAGGGCTACTGAGAAGGTTGGCCTCTTGCCCCTGCCATCAGCCCGAGAGCCTTCGGAGCCAAAAACATAGAAAATACAATGGAAAGTACTATAGTATATTGGGGTTATATTGGGTTATGTTGGGATAATGGAAAACAAAATGGAAACTACTTAGCCGAATGGCAGTTGGTGTCCTTCCTAGATTGCCACTAGGTTCAGACTGCAATTAGTTCCCGCATTATCGACGCTGCACACTTGCCACAACTTGTCTCTACCAACTGCTGCAAGGCTTGTAGAGCAGCTGCCAGACCGTCTTCCTGCGAGATTTTCTAATTATCATGGACCATAATCCCCAGATTTCTAGATGTCCTTAAAAAGCCATAAGCAACGTGCTTATCGGGCCCTAAATCTGTCCGACTAGTACACCGAGTAGTAGAGCAGCAACACGAAATCAAAGGAATGTGGAGGTTTCCAAAATCTAAGGGTACATTGTGAGGGGCGCCCCTAATTGGGCTCCTTGTGTTGATGGAAACCACCATGTCTGGAAATTGTCGTGCAAATCAGTTTCAAGGCCCGGAGCTTTTCCGCTTGCAGCAGGACGGCTCAGGGGTTTTGCACAGTACCATGGTACCATGCATCTGGCTAGGGCATTGTGATCAAGCTGATCGGGTGAGATTGTTGCAGGCTGTGAGCACACTGTCTGTAGTGTTTGATCCTGGGCTTGCATGAACTTCCCAGGGAGGTAGACCTAAATGCATGGGTTCCAGGATGAGCGTTATACATTTCAGACGCAGGGGGGGGAGTTTAGGGCGCGAATTTCAGGTCAAAATTTCAGGGCAGAGGCTGGGGAGTTTCAGACGAGGGGAGTTTCTGACGCACACAATGGGGCATTTCAGACGCATTATATGGAATCTTAGGGTTTGGGCTTAGGGTTTAGATCGACGTTTGAAGCTTTCAGGGATTGAGACTCTATGGATTAGGGTTTAGGCAGATGGGGTTTGGTTTAAGGTTTAGGGATTAATTAGAGCTCTTTCGGATCCAGGCTTTAAGGGAGTAGGGCCTAGTAGGGTTTAGGGGTTGGGGTTTGGCTTTTAAGGGATTGAGCTTAGGATTCGAAGGGTTTAAGTTTTAGAGACTAGGGCTTACATTCCCCTTGTGAGGCTTTAGGCCTTTTCGGGGAGGGCTTTTTGGGATTAGGGTTTGGGCTTATGGAGCTTGGGCTTGGTTTAGGGTTCATGGATTACGGCTTTTAGGGATTCAGGCTTGTAGGGACTAGGGTTTAGGGTTTAGGGTTTTCCTTTTGGGGTGTGGGCCGCAGGGATTTGGGGTGAAGGGTTTAGGGATTAGGGTTTTTAGGGATTCAGGCCTTTAGGGATTTGGGCTTTTAGGGGT